TGGTAAAGCTTCATCCCCAAAAGACTGCAACGCGACAATCCTGTTATCGTTAACTAGTCACTTTTTTCAATGGATTTTTAAGAGCTTAAATTTTCACTATTATTGACATTTTATATTTGTCTCCTACACTTTCAAACATGTATAAAAATTATGGTAACAATCATTTTACATAAAAATCAGCGCTTGTTACTGAATACTGCAGTGGACAGGCTTTTTTTAATGTTTTTTTGATTGATTTTTACCTGCCTGATTTTAAGCATTTTTTTTATTCTAAATTTATTTCCTACATTTACAAATGTTTAGAATTGAATGGTGAAGTCCAATTTCACTCAAAATACAAGCTTCAATCTTAATAGATGAGTGTACCCTGTTTCTTGCATAATTTGTACCATATACAAATTTTATTTGAATGCAAAATGGATACAGCCATCAATTTTGAAACCTTGAAAAGTGTAGGAAATGAGCTTGAAATTTCATAAAATAAGGATAATTGAGCGTGTAAGAATTAATTCAGGAAACACGTCAAAGGCATTATTCAAGATATAGTTTTCATTTTGATGAAAATTCATTGTTACCATAATTTTATACATGTTTGAAAGTGTAGGAAACAAATTTAAAATGTCAAAAAATAATGAAAATTAAGCTCTTAAAAATCAATTGAAAAATATGACTAATTACAGTATCCAGAATGAACCGTTGAGTTTTATGGGAATCGAATTTTACCATTAAATTTTACACACTTTTAAATGTAGGGAACAACTTTAAAATTTCAAAAAAGCATAGAAAATAAGGTACACACATGTATGCAAACAATTAAGTGAAAAAGTGATGAATTAATTTAAAAAAACGTGTCAAATGCGGCATTCAAGGTATAGTTTTCATTTTGGGGAAAAATGGTTTCTACCATCATTTTCTACATGTCTTAAAGTGTGGGAAATAAATTTAAAATGTCAAAAAATGATGAGAATTAAGCTGTAAAAATTAAGTGAAAAAATGGGTCTAATTTCAGTATTAAAAATGAACCGTTGAGTTTTAAAAAAATTGGACTGCACCATTAAATTCTGCACACATTGAAACCTAGGAAATAATTTTAAAATTTCAAAAAAGCATAAATAATAAGGTACATACATGCATGCAAACAATTAATTGAAAAAATGAGTAAGCAGAAAAAAAAAACCAAAGTCATTTTTATGGTAAATGGACTTTACCATTAAATTCTACACCCTTCAAAGTGTAGGAAAAAAATTTAAAAAATCAAAAAAACTCGAAATTAATGCCAAAAAAAAATTAATTAAAAATGTGGGTTTAAAAGCGGAATGCGCGTGTGCTGTGCTGCAGCAAAAGCGCGTCAAAACACGGAAAATGCGGGTTTTTTTATTAAGGCCCTTTTAAATCTGTTTCCTACACTTTCAGGAATTTATAGAATTATGGTATAAATCAATTTGCATCAACATGAAAAATTTACCTTGAATAAAGCCTTTGACATGTTTCCTTAATTAATTCTTACACGCTTAATTATCCTTATTTTATGGAATTTTAAGTTCATTTCCTACACTTTGAAAGTTTTTCAAATTGTTGGCTGTATCCATTTTGCATTCAAATAAAATTTGTATACAGTACAAATTATGCAAGAAATGGTGTACACTCTTATACATGAGATTGAAGATTTTCTTTTGAGGCAAAATGAATTC